TGTTTCTCTGCCATTTTTCTGTACTTTTGGTTCACATATCAGCATCAACACAGGCAGAGCAACTGAAACAACAGAGCTGCAATGATCAAGAATGTTGACATTTTCTGTCGCCCTTTATATATTATTATTCTCTTCAAATTATTCTCTTGCATTTGACAAATCACTCTGAAAATGGGGAAAAGTTGTTGCATAGAGCTGGCTAATTAAGGAGAGGATCTGCCTAGTTTTCTCTTGTACAAATCTGACTCATTTTTCTCCGGCGTTGATTCGTTTTTCTCATCCATCTTTTGGGGTTTAGCCACGTTTCTTGTTTCTAATTTATGTATTTGACTCGGTATTCAGATTAGTTAATGGTACTTTGACCCCTTGTTTATTTTTGGGTTAAGAAGCTATGAGACAACACATATAGCACGACACGTCATATTTGTCTATTTGATATATGATGCAAATGTATATTATTTTTATACTACATAAAACCTGAGTTTATCCATGAAAATTTATTATTTATGTCATATTTGTCTATTTGATATTATGATGCATGTATAACAAGTGTTGACTCAGTTTGACCTCGTGCAACTGTTTCTAACACATTTATTGCACTAGTAAGAATTTGATACATGTCCAGAAAATGTTGCAGTGTCCAAATGTTCGACACGTATGTGATATGAACACACTAATCAAACTAAAATGTCAGTTTTAGAGTATATAGTTCTTTTGCGACTGTTTTGTTCAAGTTTCCGTTTTGAAAAGCTATCAATCATAGTTGGTTTTAAAATATTTCAACGATTGTTGATTCCAACCCCTCTAATTTGGATTTAAGGTACCGTAATGCTGCAATTAAGAGAATACTTTTAACACCCAGTCAAGCATAGAATCTACCTTTGACAAACAATATCTTGGATGGATTAAAGATGACGATTTTAGAACAATTCTAAATAATTAAATTTTAAAAAGAAACTCCGATATTCACTTTAAAAAAAACTATGTTCTAAAAGGTTATAAAACAGTAAAGAAGAGATCAAAATAAATTTAGGTGAAAATGTTAATGGCTTAGTTAATCTTCATAAAATCTAGGTTGAGAATATTTTGTTAAAATATCATCCAATAAATGTATGCTAAAAATTTATAATTGGGTCGGGAAGAATTTAGAAGTGGGCTGGAGCAGATGACCAATGATGAGAGGGTGATCCATACTTGGCAACTCGTGGTCTCGGGTTTACTATTTAGGGAAAGGGAATTGGATCCGGTTTCTTACTGTCCATAACCACTCAAATCAATATTCCTGGCGTGGAGCTTCAGCCTGAAATTTACGAGTTGAAGGAGTGCCATTTCTCACATGGCGTTGGCGTTGGCGTTGGCAGGGCAGGGTTTGATGATGATGGATGGTGTTTGTAAAGAAGATCTCTGTGCCCGCGTAAATTTAGTGAGAAGCCCAAGAACAAACCAAATTGGGACTCTGATTTTATCGATTCCAAAAGGTCCCATCATGCCAGCTGCTTCTTACTCCCAATTCTCTCTCTCTCTCTCTCTTTCTCTCTCCCTTCCTTTACTCATCATCCCTCTCTTTCACTGCCTCTCGTCTCTTCCAACTCTGATGTCACCACCGACTATAAATTTATCCCTTCGATTCTTTTCGTTTAGGGCGGGTGTGTAGAAGGAGCTGTGTTTCTTTCCTGCCGATGATAATCGGACTGATTGAATGAATGTCTGACCACAAATCAGGCTCCATGACCGACCAGCTCTCCAAGCAGACTTCTATTTTTGGCCTACGCTTGTGGGTTGTTCTTGGGGTTTGTGTAGGAGCAGCTTTCGTGCTCTTTCTGTTTCTTATTTCTCTTTGGATCGCCTCTAAACGCTCTCGCAAGAACATTTCTCACAAACCCACAATTCCAATCGTCTCCAAAGAAATCCAAGAGATCAGAATCGAGCAGCCCCTCGCTCAAAACCAAGAAAATAAGCCTAGTAGTAGAGCCCATTTTCAGGTCGAGCCGGAAGTAATCCCCGGAGTTGAGCGCCAAGCGTTGCTTTCGTTGCCTCAGGACGAAGAGCGAGTGAACAGGATTCATATTGAGATCGGGAAGGATCATAGGATTTCATATCCTGAGCGCCTAGGTCGGTCGTCTTCCTCGCACGGCAGTGGAGAGGGCCGATGTGGTGGTGATCAGTTGCCTATGGTGGTGCCTGAAGTTTCCCATTTGGGTTGGGGGCATTGGTACACTCTCAGAGAGCTCGAAGCTTCCACTAACGGCTTCGCCCCCGATAATGTAATCGGTGAGGGTGGGTATGGAATTGTTTATCATGGCATATTGGAGGATGGAACTCAGGTTGCTGTTAAGAATTTACTAAACAATAGGTACTATTTTTTCATATATTTCTTCAACCTTGATTTCCTCTGCCTTAGTGCGTGGATTGGGACTTGCATTAAAGAATCATTAATTTCGTAGGGGACAAGCCGAGAAGGAGTTTAAAGTTGAAGTTGAAGCAATTGGACGAGTCAGACACAAGAACCTAGTTAGATTACTTGGATACTGTGCTGAAGGTGCTCACAGGTACTCTGTTTCTTTCCCCCAAATACCTTTGCGGCTTTTTCTTTAAAAACTTGCCTGCGGTTCTAAAGAAGAAACTTCACTTATTCCATTACTTTCATTGTATGCTTGCATTTAATCTTTGAATGTTGAGCAATAAAATCTGCCTTTTCTTCTCCATGTGATGTGATAGGATGCTTGTATATGAGTACATAAATAATGGAAACTTGGAACAATGGCTTCATGGGGATGTGGGATCTTTCAGCCCTCTTACCTGGGAGATTAGAATGAATATCATTCTTGGAACCGCTAAAGGGTATTGTCTAGCTTCAATTCAATGTAGAAGCTTGAGTTTTCTCCATCCCCCAGCCCCGGCCTGCATTACCTTCTTGGCATTAATGTGTTATAACTTGCATATGTAGGCTAGCTTATCTTCACGAAGGATTGGAACCAAAGGTTGTTCACCGGGATATCAAATCAAGCAATATATTACTCGATAAGCAATGGAATTCCAAGGTTTCAGATTTTGGGCTTGCAAAGCTACTATGCTCTGATAATAGCTATATCACAACTCGAGTCATGGGAACATTTGGGTGCGTACATGTATATCATTTGATGTTTCTATATACGTTCTTGTGGGTATCTCATGTGTGAATTTAGATTTTGTAATGGGATTTATGCTACTTTCCAGCTATGTAGCGCCAGAATATGCAAGTACGGGGATGCTAAATGAAAGAAGTGATGTGTATAGTTTTGGAATACTCGTTATGGAAATAATCTCAGGAAGGAGCCCTGTCGATTATGGTCGTCCTCCAGATGAGGTATGCTCCATACTTTGAAGAAAAATCATATTAAGCGCTGTATATACCACCATTCTTCAGATCTCCCTTTTTTCCTTTTCGTTCGATTATGAGTTTGCAGAGGTTAAAATTTACAGGTACACTTGATCGATTGGCTTAAGAGATTGGTTAGTAACCGTAACCCGGAGGGCGTATTGGATCCAAAGCTTTCTGAAAAGCCTACTTCAAGAGCATTAAAGCGGGCTCTTCTTGTTGCATTACGCTGTGTGGACCCAAATGCTCAGAAGCGGCCAAAAATGGGACACATTATTCATATGCTTGAAGCTGAAGAGGCTACCTTAAAAGGGGTATGAAACAAAGTTTACTTGAAGTTCATTTATTGTTCTATATATATATATCTTGGATAGGTTTATTAATAGGAGTTAGGAGTTGCAGAATGCCATGACACGCATAATCAATGGATCGATCTACTCTCAGCTTCAGATAATGAATGAAAACATAATGCTGAAGTGGCAAGTATTTAATTTGAGCAAACCATCACCAATATGCTAAGGGAATCTTAATCCCAAGTTTTCAAGATACAAATGTACTAGTCATTTACCTCACTTTTTCAGGCTAGTCACCATTCATACTGCAAATGGTTTTCCCTCATAAGAGTTCGTTAGTTCCCGAGTAAGTTTCGATAGGATCGATCCTTGCTTCTTGTGCTTTCCAACGAGACTGCAAATGGGATATGCTGAATCATAGAACCTCTAGTTCATTGAATACTCCATTTATCTTTTCCAACTTCTCGAAGTTTGTCTCATATTGATCGTTAAACCAAGCCTGAAATGTTGTCTTAGGATCGCAAAACTGGAAAGAACCCAGAGAACTCGCATGCAGACAATGTCAAGGATGGTTTAAGTGAAAGGCAGGCGATAGAATTAGGCGAAACCAACGTGGATGAACAACGAGCTACGTGAATAATTTCAGCACAAGTAGCAGTCAACTTTTCCAGCTTGGGACACACCCGAATAGTCATTCGCAGCTATTACGCCGGGTCCTCCATTTAGAAGCTGCCCTACGCGGCCACAACAATGTCAATCACAATATGTATAGTTCATTTTTGCTGTCAATAGGCTTCTATTGCCAGTCCTCATACCACTGAAGATAAAATCAATTCATGTCTCTGTCAAGGCCCCTCCGAAGACGGTCTTCGGGAATGAGGTATATTATTATTTTCTTACATTGTTCGTTCCATTCCCTCACTGTTCAATATCATACATTTGAAAATAATAGGAAAAAGGTTCAACTAGAGCATCCACACCCTATTCATAAACATTAATTTCAATTTATTGCTTATAAAGTTGTATCCAGTTTGTCAACAATGTACGCTTATGTAAACAGTTTCCTGATTGGGCCTAATAAATTATGGGGTCCCTTTTGTTCCATGTGCCATGAATTTTCCACGTCTTCACCCAGGAAAGGGTAGCAAAGCTCTAGCATTGATATCAACTTGACACAGCTATGTATAGTCTCTCTAAAAACCTGTGGGTGATGAAAGTTGGCCCGTTTCTACATCGAAATGAATGTTTGAGCATCCCTTTTCGACAGATTTGGACCTTTCTTTTTTATGGTGATATTGCATTTAACACTAGCATTAAACACCATTTCACTTATCCATTCTCCAGCTGTGTATGCATAATTGAAAACATCTCGTATAAAATAAGACTACTTTCAGAAGCATTCTCAAACGTATTTATTTGAACATTATAATTGCCATACGTAGCAAGGAGATTGAAACCAACAAATTGGTTGTCAATATCATCGGAGAGAAGATAGACTATCCGAATAACGACTAATGGAGGCGTAATAACAGTGTGACGCCCAAAATTGCTCCAAGTAACCACCTGAGCTCCGCTGGTCTGCCATTTAAGTGTGCGTCACCGGAATCTCCCGCACCTTGCACTGGACTTTCCAAGGCGGCCGGTGGAGGGGGAGAAATCGGTGGGTTATCACATACGCCTGTTGTATTTTCCTGCTTATTCAATAAATTTTGAGTTAGCCAACAACCTATTCTCAAATACAATCAGCTGTTTGCATTTTCAAGTAATAAATGTATCCATTTCTCTTCAATTCAAACGCTTTTTGGTTACAAACCTTGCAATAGGCAATATTATTACACCCGCAAGTCAGATGGCCATTGGCTACATCCACAGCTTCTGGAGCACCTCCACCATCACTCCTCTACAAGCAACAAGTTGAGAAACACAAGTACCAATGTAATATATAGTTGAAACTCAATTCCCATCCTCCCAAATCTATCCTACTCGCAGTAAAATGATACCTGATAGAAGTCAACAGCAAGGAAATTTGGCCACCTTTTGCCGGCTGCTTGATGGCAAGTATTCATCATGCTAATTAATGAAGCCGAATTATCCGAGCAAACGGCTGTTCTGTTGGGATTAGTAGAAAAATAGTTCATGAGAATCAAGGATATGGTTGTTGTATCCATTGGAGGCGACTCTGCTCTGTTTGGACAAGATCCAGGCTTCATTCCTCCGTCCCCATCTGAGAATGCATCCCCACACATTCGCTTATCAAGGGCCATAAGAATTATAACAACACATGAATAACAAACATTGGAATGACCTTACATTGGTTTTCGACAACATAGCGCCACTGATAAGCAATGCCATCTGAGGCCTCTTTCGATTGTTTAGAGGTGAAAACTACGAGTCTCTGGTTTTGCTTTACCATATCATCGACGGTTGGCCAATCCCCACCCTTTTGGGGCATTCTGGAAACAGGAAACCAGTACTTGTTCAGTCCAGAAGCATTGAACACCTTGCTCAAGCCTTGTGGAGACTTCACATAGTCTTCTATGAAGATCGTGACAATCTCTTCTGGGTTTGCTCCCAAAAATTTCTCAATTTCTCTCAACACATTGATTGCCGGTTGCTGGAAACAAGTCAAGGGTATCACTTTCTTTAAACACTACTTTATTGTACTTAATGGTTATTTGAACATTGCTTTGAAGTTATTTCAAGCGAGGTTCAGAAATATTGTGTTCGTAATTGTATAGATGATAAGCAAAGTACTTACAAAAGAAGTGGCATTGAAACATTGACCAGCAAAGGAGTGGCACAACCAAACATCATTTTGAAAGTCATACATATCCAACATTAGCCCACGAACTCCATTCTACAAATGCATCATTACGAAAATCAAACCACAAGTTAGGCATAGAAAAGGGTAAAGATTTGGTTTTGGATTAGTTGGAATGTGAGTGTCGATTAGTAGGAATAAATGAGCGATGATGCTTTGACAAGACGCCTTAAGGCCAAATGGAATAATTAAAGCATGTGACAACCACCCACCAATTTAATTTTATTATCGGCCATACAGAGATTTGCTGTTTGGGACAGTCCACCTGCTGGCACTGTTCCACTTTTAAAAAGATTATTCACATCATACAATTTAATAATGTATGATTATTCCAATTCCATTTCATTTCTTCAAATTAAATATGTTTGCCCGTTACGTTTGTATACATTTTTTTTAGCTGATTTCAAATAACTCAAACCAATTTCTTTGCTTTGTTTTTTTCTTTTTAAATTTGTTCCCTCACCACTTGTAAATATCAATTTCACTGTATTTAAAATTTTCTTTAAATGAAGTTCATGTAGTCACTAACTGTTAAAAAAATCTCCACATATGAACTAAAAAATGGTCCCAAGTTACCGACATTTTAGAGGACCACGTTTGTAAGTCAATAGAAATTTAAACGTAGAGTATTTAACTAACAAAATTTTAATGTCGTACTCTGTATTTAATATCGTGAAAGAAATATTGACTCAAAAGAAATGCAGAGTCTAAATATGTGTGCGTGTATTATATATAATAGGAAATAAAAATGCTTTTTGGCTGGGAAGGTGTGCGTGTATTTTAAAGAGCGAAAAAGAGGGCAAAAAGGAAAGCGGCAGAGAGAAATGGAAAATGGTTGTAAAGTGTGCAAGGCAAAAGGGTAGATTCTAAAAAATGAAAGCGTTCAAAGCGGAAGAGCTTCAGAGAGATGTTAAAGAATGAATGAGAACTCACGTTAAGTTGACTGGTGACCGTATCTTCCTGATTGGTGGGCGCCACCAATATGCTCGATCCCGTCGCCGGTTTCTCGCCGGAACGAGCGAAGGAGTTGTGAGTCGTAAGCCAAGAGTAACGATTGAATGGCAGCCCTTTTACCTGTACAAAACCAAACAAACAGGGGGGGGGGGGGGGGGGGGGGGGTGCTTAAATTATCAACAAAATTTCTCGAATCAAAGAAGGGGAGGCGACTTTGGAGACTCGCCTTGGATGTTGGACTAATTGGCTGGATGCGAGTACATCTGGGTCTGGTATTTCCATTTGCAGGGCAAGTATCGCATATGAGACCGGAATCGCATTTGTCGCCGGAGGAGCAAGTTTCTCCGATCTAAAAGGGAGCAGAAGGTTAGATCAGAGAAGGAAGGAAGCGAGGCGAGAATAATCAGAAACAAGCAAAATTGAGAAGAAAGACGAAACCTCGAGAGTGGAAGAGAAGGTGAAAAGACAGAGAGAAACAACCAGAAGCTGAAATTGGAAAGTGATGGATGCTTTGAATCCCTGCCATTGAAGAAGGAACAAGTTTAATTGGAATATAAAGAGAAGTTAGAGGGAGAGATAGAGAGGCGATTATGAGGAGGAGAGAGGCATGCCTCCATTTCCGAGAAGCCTTTAATGGAGAAACTCCCTAACGAGTTGGGTTCTTGTAGTAAAGGTCTTTTCGTCTTCGATTTTGCCTTCGTTCTAAATAAATCACACACGCTTCTCTTCGCCCTGTTTTTCTTCTTCTTTTCTAATTTATTTGATGGGTGCTCCAATTTGAACTTTCTAATTTTATCTAATGCCATTAAATAATCTCTCTGTTTCTTAATTACAGATATACTACAACTAGTTCTAAATTTTATTTGATCCCTGACGTTTCCTATATAAGATATGGACAGTAAATACAACTATCATCCACGTTCATCGTTATTCAATATCAAAACAATGACCAAAATGCAATCACCGTTCTAGAAGATCTGTTGTTTATTTAGCTGGAAAGACCACGGGGAATGAGACTATTCATTATATTCAATACAATAATAGGGGCTTGAATCACCCAATTATACATCAACACAAGCGTTTGCTGAAATTTGGGAAAACAACCACACGTTGACTATCCCAAAAAACATGTTTCTTTGTTGTCACAAGTATTGTATGGAAATCTAGACACGAGGTGGTCAAGGTCTCATGGCTCTAAAATATCTAAATATTTACACGACAAACCTCCCCTGTAAACGACCAAAGACGGCCGTTCTCCCATGTATTGCCACGTACATCCACAAAATTGAAGCCACCTTTGGTGTACTACTAGTGAAACAGATCTACACTCTGCTCTGCTGCAGTTAAGAGAATGGTTTTTTTTATGTCAATTGAGTAGGAGATCAAAACAACTATGAAGAAGATCATGTTTTCCCTTGCTGCTTCTGTTTACCAGGAGCATAAGATGCCTAACTTCACAGTAGAATCAAAAGAATCTTCAGCTGTTTACAACATTATTTGCTTTATATACCTAGAACCCACCGCATCTGCCTCACATTTGAGCTAAAAAAGAAAATTATAAGTAAGAGCTTGGTGGAAAGAATGATGTGAATACAAGATTGAACTTAAATATATCATATTAAGCTTTATATTTGTAGGCTCTCCTTTACATTGTCAAAATTGTTTTGTTGGAGCAGATCAGACACATCATTCTACGGTGCCATCAATCCTTCAATTGTGTAGGAGAGAGACTCAGCCCAATCAGATCTCAGTAACAGAGTTTGCAGTGTTTCCATCACATTATAAGCAGGATCAAGTTTCCTCTGCCAGCCCTATCAAAATCAGAAATGGAAGTAATCACACACAAGTATCAGTGCTTACCAATCGGGGCAGTCATCATTGGACCATAAAATAATTCTCGCAACCTTTAAAAATACATCCTAAATACGAAGGGGAGAAACTTGTAGAATAAATGCGATCTCGTCAATATAGCAAAGGCAGACTGAAGTTACCTCCATAACCAATGTCGTCACCATCACAGTGCACACATTTCCATCGATGTTGACTCTGTGATGCCTCACTTTCTCCAGTAATTGCTGCATGGCTTCAGCAGGATGAACTAGATCACCTTCGGGAGTCTTCCAGAAATCAAACGCATTGGTAACTTCCTGTAAGCAGCTGATCAGAAATACTCGCAAAAAAAAGAATCAAACCTAGCGAAGAAATTCGTGAGGCAAATAAATTTCGATCTCAAATTCACTGAGGAGCAACCAATGAACTTAAAACCACGCATAGTATAGTTTCCCTTTCTTGTTTTCTACTTTCCTAAAAAAAACACATGATCAATAATTGTTTCTTCTTTCTATAAAAAAAACAAAAATAAGTTTGGAGGGTCATTGATATTAAGGCATCAAGGAGGACGAAGAAACCATTTCTTATTTCTTCTACCTTATTTTTCCTTGGTAACCCTTATACTAAAAATGTTAAGAATTCAACAAATGAAGTCCTACTTGACAAACAAAGTTTTAAAAACAAAGTGTTACCAAATTAGTATATCACCATACTTTCAATTATCGTGTCATTTTATAAGTAAAAACCAACAAAACAGTCTATTAGAATAACAAGAAACGAGAAACCAAAATTTCAAGTTCCAAAAAATGGAATACTATTTAAAGAAAGTTCCTTAAAAATGAGAAAGAGACAAAGAACCATTGCCAAAAGACGATGTTGCAAAAAAAAGATGGAAACAAAAAACAAGAGCAGCTACCAAACAACCCTCAAAATCCCAACAACTCCGCATTCCACAACCTAAACCACAATTATCCTAAAACCTCAAAGAATAACAATGGCACATTCCTTACCTCAATAAATGCCTCGGGATCAGGGCAATTTTGTTGTTTTGCTAATTTAAGTGCACGTTCGGCAACAGTACGGCCATCCCTACGAGCTACAGCCTTAAAAAATTCCAGTAAATTTACTCTATCACTTCCAGAAAGTTCGGCCGTCATGCCTACATCAAGGAAGACAACATGAGGCTTTGACTTGAAGAGCCGCTTCCGACGGGACTTTTCATGAGACACTCTGACAAGGATATTTCCAGGATGCATGTCAGCATGTATAAAGTTGTCCACCTGAAACATAGAAGGTTGAACTCCTTGGCATTCAGAAAAGTGCAACACTCTAACCACTAAGGAAACCATCTCGGAAGTGAATAATAATTAAAAGTGCAAAGACATCCAAAAAGCTAAAATTTCTGACATTCGGTGAGTGCATAGAACAGAATGGTTTTTAAGGAGATAAATGAAAATCATTTCAAAGGAAAAACAGTGAACAACGCTACAGTAACAATATAAAGTTATGTTACCAGAAGCATTTTTAGAAGAGCATGTGTCCCAATGTGTGCCAATGCTGACTTGACTCTTTCATATCCTTCAAGCTCATCAACATAGTGAGAAACACTTTCCCCTTGCTCATAAGTTTCCACTAAAACAGCAGGATGAACAAGTGGATACACCGGTTTAGGAAATGAAACATCCTTCCACCGTCGAAAATTATAGATAAAGCGGCTCAAGTGTGCTGCTTCCCTTGCAAGGTCGACTTGAGACATCATAAAAACGGCAAATTGTTGCACACTTTCATCCAATCTCAACCAGTTGAGAGTAGGAATGAACTTTGAAACTTTTGCTATAAAATCAATTATAAGGAAATCTCTCCTGATTAATTCCCCAACGCCAGGATGTCTAACTTTTACAGCAACCACCATGGGCTTCATTTGTTGACCAGGGTATCGAAATTTCAAAGAAGCCCGATGCACTTGAGCAATACTCCCTGATGCAACAGGTTGCTCTTCAAAATCCTCAAATATCTCAGAAAGCTTTCGACCAAATGCCCGTTCTATAGTTTTCCTTGAGTAGGCAAAGCTGTGCTCTGGAGCTTTACTGTGAAGCTTTGATAACTCTATGCATAAATCTCTAGGGAAGAGATCTGGTCGTGTCGCAGCCCACTGACCCCATTTAATGAATGCTGGGCCACCCTTTTCAAGTGAACGATGAACAACCTGGAGCCAGAGTCTCCTGAAGCGAAATCCAAAGACATCCGCGAATGGAGCCATCAATATGCAAGGTGAGAACAAGATTGCCAAATAAAGGGCTCTAAAAAATAATATAATGCCTTCTAAAGTAGAAAATAGTAATGAAATCAAATAGGCATGTCCGTCTTGTGCCCGGATGTAGAAAGAATTGTGAGATGGATAAGGGTCTATGCTTGTGAATGTTCTTTGGGCACATGCTAGCTCTCCCCATGTAAAAGCAAAGATACCAGGTACAATCAGGTGAGAACGAGACATGGCCAAGCAGAACGCCCGAGCAACTTCATTTAAGGTGGGAATACTACCGCAATTGGAAGAAAATTTGCTGGAAACCCTTTTCCAAATAAAGCGAGCATGATGTTTAACGATATTGCTGGTAGTCCAGATACAAAAATTTCTAGAACTCGCAGTCCAGCTTAAACTTCTTATGGTGCAGTACAACGGGGAGGAACCATGTCCTCTAGCTGAACACCTATAATGTGAGAACAATTTATTGTGAAAGAAAGGCTCTACTGTAACAGTCGTCCCGCCGTTCCTCACTTCTAAATGTCTAAGTCTGTGGCTTGTATGAAGTGAACGCACTGCCTTCCTTATGTTCCCCAACATCAAATATCTGCCATTATTTAAATTACTTTAGCAACAATACATAATCACTAAAATTTGATAACTACAATCAATGTTGGATTTCAGATAGGTAGTTAATCACTGGGTATAAATTAGATAAATATATAACCAGAAAAATTAAGGAACGCTGTATATTCCAGCAAACTACACTTTCCAAATTAATGAATTATTGAGGAAAAATAACACAAAATCATCACTCTAAGGCAATGGTTCTTGACTTGTAATCCAGTCCTATAAAATCAAATCTCTTCTGGCTCAGGGAACCACGCGCAGACGGTGAAAGAAATTGGTTACAAGAAGAGGACTATCTGTCTGGTTGCCTAACTGCCAACTATATACAATCTGTAAATTCGAAGAAGCAAAAACTAGAAGATGACCAACGCTAAGCTAGCAGTACTTCGTTTGAAACACCAAAAGTTGTTAAAAGGATCAAAAAACAAACTTCAATCTTACAAGAAATCAAAAGGATGGGAGCGGCAGAGACAGGAAGCCCAGAAGGGGGGGTGGCGGGGAGGCGAGCATTGGGAGGGCACAAATAAAATAAACCGAAAAGGAAGAGAACGTGATAGAAACTCAATCTTACCAAGGAAGAGAAAGGATATAAGGGATGGGAGGCGAGAGCCTTGTCTCCGCGAACCGCAAAATCGATCGATCGAAAGGGAGAATGAGCGGGCAATTGGTCGATTGGTCGCCGGCGCCAGGTCGAGGACTTAAGAGGGCTGACGCTCACTCTGGATGGAGGGAGACTGGGAATCGAGAGAGAGGGAACGCTAAACTGAAACTGAAAACATTAGGGCTCCAATTTTGAAGGAAAAGAAAAAAGAAAAAAGGAAAAAAAAAACTGAGGGACAGTATGTTGTGTTTACCGCCGTGGTTTTTAAGATAAAAATACTTTATTTACCGAATGATTTTTCTAGATAAAAGTAAACCCCATTAATGAGGGAGGATGCTCCGTAATTTACAGAAATTCAAATCATTCAAAATTAAATCACTCAACCAATATTGAGCGGAGCCACTTGCTGCAGCTAATTTTAGTTTATAGACCGACTCGGGGGTGAGCAGTCTGACGGCAGCGTCGCCCACCTCTCGCCAGCCAG